TTCAGCTCAGTAAACCATTTCAGTTCCACAATCTATGAAACGAGTTTTCATTGTTTTATATCCTCGTTTGTTTGGTCATTGTGTCAGCAAACATTCAGAGGAGGCAGTATCTGTGCTGGATAATGCTGGAGATAAAGAAATGAAAAAGACATAGTCGCAACCCTCAAAAAACTTCTAGTCTAGTGTCTAAGTATTCTATATTTTGGCTTGATTAGGCCCCATGTTCTTTCACCTGTGCCTATCATAGATGCAGAAGGTCTTGGGTTCATGAGTTGTTTCCTTTCATAATTTATGTAGCAGTTATTGCTTATAAAATACATATGTCATGCTTTGTGGAAGAAATTAATAAAACGGCCCCAGACCATATCATTAAAGAAAATAATATTAGTCGTTATTTACTGAAGGCCAGACACCGTGTTAAATACTTTTATTGCCTTATCTAATTCCTCAGTAGCCCTGTGCAGGGATCATCTTATTCCCATTTCATAGAAAGAAAACTGATGCTTAGAAAATTTTGGTTAATTGCCTTAGGTCACATGACATTTCAATGGCAAAGTTTAGAATTCAATAGAGACTTGTCTGTTCCAAAGTGCATTGTTGGGACAACTGTATGATACTAGAAATATTATCATTTTTTTCTGAATGTTTACTCTTCTATAGTCTGACTGTTGAATGGAATCTTTAATTAATTACTTAATTGGTAATAGTTCATACTTTGTGTCACTATTCTTGTGTGAAAACAATGCTTCTGCTTCTAATTATACCACCCTTCTGTCCTCCCAAAAGACCAAGTAAGTCATGTTGAATATGCACTTATTAAATACCTAAAATATAATTATCATGGCATTTATATAAAATGCAAAGTCACTTTGACATCATTCTGTTCAACTTTCTGTCTATATTGGCATCAAACTTACTAGAAATATTATAGCTGGAAAAAGAACTACATCAGTGTAGTAAATTGCATTACAAACTAAATTGCATAACTCATCGCTGTCTTTCCACTCAGGAAGGGACAGCTGCAGAAATACCAAACTGAACTAGAGCATCTGATAAGCAGCACAGCAGCTGTAGTAAATGCCCTGGAAACTGTAAGGGTAAGAAGTCCAAAGGAACAGTCTTTCAGCAATAAATAGCTCAATAGATGGTCATTAAGAATTTACATCTGGTCTATCAGTGTGAAATGGATTCTAGAAAGAAGTTACTTTAAAATTAATCCAGATACCCACCTCTTAATATTGATACATATAAATAACAAACACCTGTAAAACATATTGAAATACATCTATTAAATACTCCAATATATTATTTCTATTGTTGTTTCTCTTCGAAAATCTAAGAAATATTAACTCTACATTATACTCTAGGCAAAAACAAATTACACATGAAAACTCTTTCAGGGAGGAGAGGTAGAAGAGTCAGGAAAAATGGTGAGAAAAGATAAAAGGACATAACCCAAGGTGCCCAGGCAGAGAGGGGCCAGTTCTTTAGTTCTGGACTGCATTTATATTTGATGTGTTTTTTCCTGAGCTTCATCTTTGTTTAATGTCACAGGATCAATTTTTATATGTTTATATAACTATTGAAAAATATGTGCACAACTTTACAACAGGTACAAAGGGATGTTTCTTTAAAGATAGGCTTTTCAGATAGTGGGCAAATGAAGTCAAGAGAATCCAAGTATTTGGTCCTGGCACACAGCTCACTGTTTCAGGTAAATTTTCTTTAGGTTCTTCAGCTAGGGCAGGGAGGGGAGGCAGGTAATGCAGGTGCTGCAGACTGGCTGTGGGTGTGGGCTCAGAATTGTTGGGTTCAGTCCCAGTTTTGTTATATATCATGATGATCTCCAGAGAGGCTAATGGCTCCATCCAGGTTTTGGGAGGCAATTTTCTCCTGACCTAGCACAGGCAACAATAAGGAATGAACTAGTAAGAGCAGCTCTGGGAACCTAAATAGTGGAGATGTTCCATTTGTTTGGTATATTTATGTTAAAAGGGTTTTAAAGACACTTATCTAATTTTTTTTATTTGATACCAAAAATAACCAAAGAAAAAATTTGGAAAAACTTGCTACAATTGTCATTTGATCAGAGGACAATTAATATCAAAATATTTAACTGTGTTAAGAATGTCATAAACTGGATTTGTTTTATTCAAAAAATTACGTCCAGCAAATTTCTTCATTCTTCATTACCCTTAAAAATGAAATCTTGCCTGATTGAATGAGAGAGTACATGTCATAAGCATGTTCTAGCCTACCAGATTCATTCAAAGGAAGGTTTTTCAAAGACTTTTCAAAAAATTTTCACAAAGTTAATAAAGCATTGAAAAAAAGAAATGACATATTTGCTTTTCTTAGTGGTTATGATCATAAAAAATTGAAAAGCAACTTTTTCTTGTCCTCTGTTTTTCCAACTTTCCATATACACAATGTGAACTGTGGCAATCAAATTAAATAATGGTGACAGGTATAATTCATGAGGGTCCTGAAAAATGTTTTTAGTGGAGTGTGAGACAGGGCAATTCACAGACTTTGACTCTGGATCTATCAGTTTCTATAAAATGAATCTTTAGCAAATGAATTTTGATTCAGTGTTTTTTGCTCTATTAAAATTATAAACATAGTACATGCCTATCATGGAAAAATTGGAAAATTCAAAAACTAAGTAACAAAAAGAAAACAGTTTTCTTTTGAGTTTGTTAGAATCTTGCTTCCAGGCATATCCTCTGTTTGGCTTTTGGTCTCACTTAAAAGTGGAACCTAATCATCAGTACAAACAAGCAAGCAAAATATAACCAGAGATATTGAAATAAAGAACAAACTGACAGTGACCAGAGGGGAAGGGGAGGATAGAGGGAATAACAGGGTAAAAAGGGGAAGGGTCGTCAAGAAACATGTATAAAGGACACATGGACAAAGCCAAAGGGGCGGAAGATCGAGGGTGGGAGGTGGAAATGGGTGGGGTTGTAGGGAGAAGTGGGGGAAACATGGAAAAACTGTACTTGAACAACAATAAAAAAGGTTAAAAAATTCTCTACAAGTTTTTATGAGGATGTGAAGTACAGCATGGGGAATATAGTCAGTAATATTGTAATGCCTATGTATGGTGTCTGGTGTCAGGTGGTTACCAGATTTATCAGGGTGATCATTTTGTAGGTTATATAAATGTCTAATAACTATGTTGTACACCTGAGACTAATATAAAATTGTATGTCAAATATTTTAAATTATTAAAATATTTCGAGTATTTAAAAGTGATTAAATTTTTTAAAATAAAATATAAACTAAAATTTAATATTGACACATCACTTGTACTATTTTGATGTATTGCTGTCCACTCATTCTACATATGCAACAACCATCTGAAGTGGATGTTGTGAGGATTAAATGAAATTAAACATGGAAATTACCTACCACAAATGTCGGGACATGGTCAGTGATTAAAATGTCAATTCTCCGGAATTCACACTACCACCATTTGGAGTTCTTTATGAAATCAGGAGTACAGCTAAATACACTAATTTTATTTAGGCTGCAGTTTCCTTTAGACAAATGGTCAGTATCTGCAAAATGCTTTCAATTTCCAAGACTAATTGTTACATGCTTCTAAAAATGATTAAAATATGATAAACATTATCTCAAATATAAGGTGATTGCTCATTTTTCAGTAGAAATATTCTAGAAGTAAAAAAAGGGGGTTGCAACTTGCATATATCAATCTATAGCATCATAGATTAAAGTCAAATATCCAATTATAACATTTAGTTTTTAATCAGATTATAGCTACAAAGTTAATAGTTATATTATAACTCACTTGGAATATATAATATCAAGTGAGAAATATCAATACAAGTTGTATCAATACAAATATCAGGTGATTTTTTGCCCTCATATTTCATTAAAATTTTTATTCAGATTCTTCTCATGCATGTAAAACATCTACTTTTGAGCAATTTCAAAGTTACTGAGTGTTTTGGAATCCCTGTATAATGATGTCACTGGAAATTTAATGTGAAGAAACAATTACTATTTACAAAATAAAAGAAAAGCATTTTTTTTACTTAATCTGTTATTCTATACTAGTGTAATATAAGCATAAACCATTCAGGCTTTAGTCTCTAGTAATATTACTAGTCTCTAGTAATCAAATCCATGTTAAATTTCTTTATTGTTTATTATCAATCAATGCTAGCTCTACAACTAGTATTGAGTTTTTAAATAAATTAAAAAATTGATTTAGTTTGATATCTTGTCTAAGTAGTATTTTTTTAAATCAGAGCACAGTATTGGAAGAACATGTTTTACTATGAAAGATTGCACAAGAACTGAAATATAAGGCAGCTCCTGCTTTGCGAGGAATAATTCTGGGAAGGAAGGCCTCACCTTATGTTCTGCCACATTCAGTCTGTTTGAATTCCACATGTTTTGCATCTACCTCACAGAGCAAGGATTTAGGAACATGTCCTTTCATCCCTCATGTCATCTTTGAGTTAGACCTTATTAAACTATCACCCCCACTGGCAGAAAGAAACAGGCTATTTGTCATTTATTGAAATTGCCCATTTCCAAAATCTGTTTGAGAAGACCTAAATCAAAGTTGCAGTCAGACCATGAAATAAGAATAGAAGATCAAAAGTACTACAGAAATCAGAAGAAAAGAGGACTGTAATTAATTATCCAGCATGAAGCATGGGATAAAATTTTACACTCAAAGATAGGAGATTATGTCAATCTCCTTTTTTCTCAATTTTTCAAATGTGAACTTAAAAATGTAGCAAAAACTGTAGTGGAGTACATACTTTTTATTAATTGATAAAATGAAGCATTCTACCCAATTTTCAAACAGTTTTTTACTATATATTTAGAAAGTGATTTCATATATAGACTCAGTGCATGAGTCTATTAGGAGGAAAGTAAAGTGAATATTGTCTTCAACATCCATTGTGTAAAATGGAAGAAATGGTCTTTAATCAAACCCATTTTATACTACCATTGTCTCAATGCTATGGGCATTAGAGCATTTGCTATCATTCACAGCTGGTGACCCTCAGCAGATAACATCAGGCAGGTAACGTTTGTTGATCTAACCTGACAATAGGAAAATTTGAGGACAGGTGTTCTGCCATTTCTCTTGTCATTCTGGCTTGAAGGCCACTGCCAGGAGCTTCAAGCTGAACTTTCAGCATGAGCTGGAAAGATGTCAGGTTGAGGCTGAAATTTTGGGGAAAACTTGGAATGCAAATAGATTATGCTATTTGTTGATTGGGGAAAGAGCTCTTTGTTTTGGACAACACAAGTGAAGCAGCTGTGTATACTGACTGCATAATATTAAACTTTAGCCATAATGTTCTCTTTAATTACTTTCAACCCTGAAAATGTGGTTAAGACAAGACAAATAATTGCGTGTCAAAAAAGCACGTGAAAGGCATCTTTCCTATGGTGATGGCTTTGAGAATTCCAGACATATTAGAGCAATGTGGAATACATTGCCAGGGATTTAGCAACAATCCTGAAGTGCTGAATTCCTACTTGTAAGGGCAAAGTTTGGTCCTATGAGATTAAAAAGTCAGGTGGAGCGCAAAGTCATCATCATCAAATGGCTAATAATTATTATAATCTCTTATTTCCATAGTATTTTTAATTGAATTGCTTCTCATATTTTATTTCATTTTGGTCTCAATAGTAGTGATGTTGAACTGATTTACACTCAAATCATTGTTTTCAGATAAATAAAGCACCAAAAACATTAATTTTTTAGTAGCTCAGTCACAGAACTTTTTATGAGCAAAATGAACCAGAAGCAGAACACTGAACCCTTGATTTGCAAACCATCATAGATTCACAGAATTTGAAAAACTCAGAAATGCTAAATTAGTCTAAAGTTTTTGATACTGGTCAAATCACTGTGGAAGTATGATAGAAAACTCTTTGGTGATGGAACAAAACTTGTCATCACAGGTAGGTATCAGAAGAATGCAATGTTTCAAAATAATAAAGTGAAAGCAAGAAACAGTTAAATTGGAACAACAGTAAGGATATTTAGATAACACAGGAATGTGATGGGGATCAGATGTAGAAATCATAGGAGAGACTGTAAAACAAATTCTAACAGGCACACATAGACAATTTGGTGCAATTATCGTAGTTGGGTTTGGCTTTTGTGTACATATGAACTTGTACAAAATGTTCATGAATAATGTATGGAATTATCAGGGAAGCATTTGGCCCAAACCATAGGTCAGTTTTGACACACTGCCATTTCTGATGGCGGAATGATGTTGTGAAAGAGCCTGGGCTTTGGAGTCAGGATCACATGGAGCTCTGGCTCCACCGCTTACTGCTTCCATGAACTTGGGCAACTATTCTGTGGCCTCAGCTTTGTAATTCATAAAATAGGATAAGTGTGCATCCAGAGTTTTTGTGTGGGAATTGACTGAGACAGTGTAAATAAAGTACTTGCACATAGTCCGTTCCCTCAACTGAAATGTAAAGGAGAATTGTATTCAGTATGAAGAGTTGCTTGTATCCAATAACATTGGCAGGGTAGAAATGCCCCAGAGAATTCAGCTGTACTTCTAACTCCTCATGAAAAAATGAGTCTGGAGATATTGGTTTATCTTTCCCACCACTGTTCTTATCCTTGGCAAAAGAAAAAAGAGGTTATTAACATGTGTTTGTTTTTAATTTTTATTCATGGCTTATGTGCTTTAAATTTTAATCTTTTATCTTGAATGATATTATTTCTAACACCAACATTTATTGGTTTCAAATATCATAGTCAATAAGTTTGAGCTTTATGCTCATAATTATTTTAAAAAGCTTAAAATCATACAGAAAATGATCAATACATGAAGTCAATCAAATATAATTAGAAATTTCATAACTGAAATTCATAAACAAAATAGCTATAACTACTTATTTGATACAGGATATTGACAAGAAAAATTAAGAAAATATTAATATGTAGGTTTGAAATATAATAATTTCAATTGAAAATGTAGTTGACATTGACATTTATGTAAAATTTGGTAAATTTAAATAGAAATCTAGCTGCTGCATGTAAATAAATATAAACAACTCAGGCAATTTAACTCAGGTATAATATTTGATTATACAAATGACTTTATAGAAATATATTAGAAAGCTTGTTTAATTTTTATCTTGTTTCTAATTTATGCATCATGAAAAGGATTTGACTATAAAAACACTTTTAATGAATTTAAAAAATGTTTAAACAGAAAGCATGCAATACAATGATCCAGCTGTAAGTACTAACCATGTATATAACTAAGTACACTATTAATACTCAGTAACTGTTGCATGGAGAAAGGTATGGAAGTTCAAGACTCATTTTATCTTGAAAAGAAGGACACACAAAGAATCTAGTGAAGGAAAAGGGACAGGCAATGAGAATGCTGTGCTACCATGCAGAAATATTACAAGTCTGTCATTTGATTTTCAATTTCTTTACCATAACAAACCAGAAGTATTACTATAATGAAAAAAGTTATTTTTAATGTATTGACTAGAGACTAAATTGTACTTACAATGTACAATTAAATTAATATTATTTTACATAATAAGATTTTAAAATAAAATGAAGTATATGGTTGGAGAAATATACAAAATAAATTTTACTACTATAATTAATAAAATGCTATTGAAGTAAAAGCAAGATGCACAAAATTAAAATAAGTACATTATGACTTAATTATATTTTCAAAATGATAAAAGAAAACTCAACATTGTTCGTTTACTGATTAAGTATAAAAATCAGGAGCTTTGCTCCAGAGGCAAAATTACTCAAGAATTTTTTTCCTTTTCTTTTCAAATGAGAAATCCAATTCTTTTTTTCTTAAAAAATTGCCCATTGAATTGCTAAACTAACTCCAACCTAGCCCAAAGATTATGTAGTAAGGAATTTGTGTTTTATTTAGAAATCAAATTGGAAAGGGTTCTAACATTTATAATTTCAAACAGTAGATTAATAATAAATGTATAAGCAAGTAACATTCCAGGATTCATGTGATATGCCTTTATAAATATATAATATTTCATTATATATTTTACATTATATTTGAAAAAAACTTTAGAACCTTAAGTTTTTACATTGCTCCAATTATGTATGTGTTTCATTTGGCAGATAAATATAAAGAAAATGATCGAGCTCTAAAATTAGCTCAGCAGCCAGATATGGTAGATATAAATTTTAGGGGAGACACACAGGGCCAAAATAGGGTGTATTTAAAGGATGGTACAATAGTCATGTTTAATCTGCAAATGAAATTCAAAAATAAAACACACTTTTGGTGAACCTTTTTAGGCCAAATACAATTCTGCTAAGGGCATTTACTCCCTAGATTAATATAAATGTTTCTGAAAAAATCAATAAAAATGTTAACAGCAGTTTTGAAAATATTGCTATTTTGCTTCTAAATTCAAGGAATCATGAAAAATTTGGAAGTGCAGTTTTAAACACTGTCCCCCAAAATTTGGAGTGGTTCAGATGTAAAAATAAGATGTTGTATAGAATTAGAAATCAATTAGGAATTCTGTCACTTCAGAGCTGGAGATGAGATTCATATCTGAAGCTAAGAGAATAACTTGATGTAGATTCTCATTAAAACAAGCGATGGTGTATTGTTTAGAAAAAAATAAAAATTTCCTCCAGGCATTTATTTTTATGGAAAAAAGATAATATATTGCATTCCAGAATTAGCTGAATGGAGAGTGATTTTCCACAGAGTTACAGAACACGAGAATGTGTGGCCAAAGAGAGCTTATGTTACAAAATTCCAGGGGAGAGATAAGTACTTCTTCTTTTTTTTTATTTTGTTGAACTTATTGGGGTGATACCGGTCAATAAAATTATACAGGTTTCAGGTGCACAACTCTATAATATACTTTATCTGTATACTGTATCATATGTTCACCACCCAAACTCAAGTATCCTTCCATCACCACTCTCTTGGTGGTGGCCCCCACCCGCTTTCCCTCTGGCAGTCATCATACTGTTTCTGTGTCTGGTTTTTTTCTTGCACTTTATAAGCCACTAAATATTCTCATCTGAAAAGAGATAATCTCAGTTACCTCCAGGTCTTTTCTTGTATTCTGATCATCTACCTCCCATATGTCATAATATCAAACACATTAAAGCAAATTAACAAGTTCAGAAATGTTAGAGTTGTTAAAAGTCACACCCCATTTTATCATGTGGAAAAAGAACAAAGGTCAAGATGTAATTCAGGCTGTGCCATTTAATAGCTATGGCTTTGGGGGAGTTGCATAATCTCTTGAACTTCTTTTCCCCTCTGAAAATAAAAACAATAATCAATACATCACAATATATCATGGATGAAAAGCCATTATAAGCACTAATTCAATGGCAGCTTTTCTTCCTTTTACTATACGCCAGGTTGTTCCACACCACACAATCCTGTGTTTCTCTAATTCTTAATTACTGTTCCATTTCACCCCACAGAGAGAAGCCTCTATTCATCAGATACTGCTCCTAAGCCCACGATTTTTCTTCCTTCAGTTGAGGAAATAAACCTTCATAAGGCTGGGACATATCTTTGTCTCCTTGAGAAGTTTTCCCCCGATGTTATTAAGGTATATTGGAAGGAAAAGAACGGCAATGCAATTCTGGCATCCCAGCAGGGAAATACCATGAAGACTAAGGACACGTACATGAAATTCAGCTGGCTGACCGTGACTGCAAAGTCAATGGGTAAAGAACACAAATGCATCGTCAAACACGAGAATAATAAAAGAGGAGTTGATCAAGAGATTCTTTTTCCTTCAATAAATAAAGGTATGTGTATACACATATCACCTCCCAGAACACTTCTGTTCCCAGAGTGACTGCCCCAAGTGTCTGTCAGGTATTAATAAAAGGATATATAAATCTTTCTTAAATGTTGCTACAATTAATAGTAGCAAAATATCCTGTTATTTTCCCGCAGAATTAAAATAGTATATTCTTTGGAACATTAAAAGGTAAGGAATTAAATAATTTATCATTCAAATTTATCATCCAAATATTAAAGTCACATGATGATTTTTATGGTTGCTGTGTGGTTTAAATGAAGCAACATACATGAAAGTACCTAGCAATTTATCACACAATAAATGTTCAAAAAGAGATTTCCCTTAAAAAATGTTTTCTTTATTTATTTTTACAGAGGCGAAGGGAGGGAGAAAGAGAGAAAAATCACTGTATAGTTGCCTCTGGTGAGCTCCCTGCTGGTCCACAACCCAAGCATGAACCCTGAATGGGAATAGAATTGGTGACCCTTCAGTTTGCAGGCTGGCACTCAATCCACTGAGCCACTAGCCAGGGGAGATTCTGCCTTTGATGATCTCATTTGATCAGAAAATAAGAAGAATTACATATCTTTCAGGAATTTTCTCCTGAGCCACAAAGTCACAATCACTCCAGTGCTACTTATACTCAAAGTAAAATCAATGAATTGTTAGGCAACAGGTGGTATCCTTCTGAGAGAACTAGATCAAGATTCAACAAAAACGGAATGATTTAGCCCTGCGGTGGGTGTTTTTCTGCTCCTAGGTTTTTTAGGTTCGTATTTCATGTACCACTGTAGGTAAATTTCCTAATTAAAGATTGGGTGATGCTGACGTGTAGAAACAGATTTCCATCCTGCATAATGCGCACGTGTATCTTGCCATGGGAAACACACAGGCAATGCAGTAGTGGCGGGAGTCAGGCCAGGAAGCCTGTGGACAAACACACTAGGATGAACTGCTGCCCCGAGAAGGTGCACACAGTGAAGAGAATATCCTCTTTCCCTAAACATTCAGGGCCACTCGAGGTTCAGGCATGTTGTCCCAAAGGAGGGCCTTTGACTCAGATTCCGTACATATTTAGACATTGTGGGCAGAATGCTGAATGTGCTCTAGCCCCAGCAGTGGTCTGGGAACTCCCTAGACTCAGAACTTAAAGTGCTGAGTGTTAACAAATCAGACCAAAGGCCCCAGAGTGCCCATAAGAAGGAATCAGTTGGTGCTGTTCCCCATGGTTAACAAGGCCTTTTAAGCAGTGGGGAACAAGCCCGTAACAAGGCGTGCTAAGGTCTTTGCTGTGTACCAGTCAGAATTTCGGAAGTAAGCTTTTCCTTCTCAGTCCTGAGTTTCCCCAGTGATGAAATCAGGTTTGAACCCTGGCCTGGGCTTTCTCCTGGGGCTGTGCTAAAGAGCAAATGAAATCATGTCAGTGAAAATGCTTGCTTTTAGAAATACAACATGGATGTATTTATTTATATATAAGTATTTATTTATATCCTTTCCTAAAACTAAAGTAAGATTGCCAAACCAGCTTTAATTTTTCTATTTCTACAGCTAAGAAACAGAGACCAAGCAAATATGCAAAGCACAAGTTTAATATAATCACTGGGCTTAAGTGTTCTAGTATGTTTTCATTTTTCTAGTGATCAGGGGTGACTATCTTAAAAAAGAGAAGGTTCAGTTTATACGGTGCTTATTTGCCATTTAATTTCTGCAACATGGCAACAAAGCTAATGAGGGCATTTTTTTAACGTCATTCTGTGGCAAATTTCTAATGCTGTTTGGAAGTTTGTTGTTGTTTTTTTTGACAAAAGCTAAAACTGTAACATTTAAGTACAAATCAATGAAGTGATTCTGAAGAGATATGAAACTAATTCTGGTTGAAGTTTTTGAATAGATTAGGAAAAAGTATTAGGCTACACCCATAGATTTTATTATGAAAAATTGATCATTTATTGTTTTTATGTCAAGCAATACATAACAGTGATATTTTTACTTCTATTTTAATGAATAAAGTCACTCTAAGGAAAATAAGAGAATTTTAAGAGACAATAAAGCGAGTTTTTGATGCTATTTTAACATCTAAACATGATTATACTAACATTTTCAATCTTGGGATTTACCCCAAAGGCTATATACCTCACACCCATTTCTTTAGTGCACACCAAGAAAAGATTTCGTGAGCACATAGAATTGCAAACTGGAACTGTATCCAGATGGCCAACAAATATAGTGAAAAAGGATAAACTACAGCAACCATTGCTACTGTTTTCCTCCAATGATCAATGAACTATTAAAGATATTTTGTCTTTGTATGTACATTACCTTTTTAAAAAATATTGTAGATAAATTACAACTGTCATCTCATGTTTTATATATTCAGAGAACTATAAATGTGACTTATTTTATCTTTTACTCCTGGATAGTATTTCACTGAAATGCAGAGTTCCTGAAATAAAATGGTCATTTATTAAATATAATTAAGATATCTGGAAGAGATGATGTTTTAGTGCCCAATATCTTGGAATTATGTTGTCTCTATGGATTATTTTCTATTTCTATGGATTGTTGTCCGGGGTACTTTCCACATGTTCTCTTTTATTTACTCTCTCACTACGGTCTTTTGAATGGTGGCTCTGCCATGAACTGGTATGACTCTCAGCAAGTTACGGGTACTCTCTGCACCTCATCTTCTTGCCTGTAACTTGGACTCCAAAATACAACTCACTTCACTGTTACTGAAAGATAAAATGAGATAATATCTGAAGCATTTAACATACACTATGCCGCACAGTAATAATCACTCGACATTAGCTTTCGTTAATGTTGTTGTCGTGTCCACGAAGACCACAGCTCCAGAAAATTGTGTGCATGAGCTGGGGTCACTGGGGATATGTGTGCATGGGAAAGGTATGGCTTTAGATGGGAAATTTTCCTAAATAAGACTATTTCAAGTATGTAAGATTCTGTTGTGGATTCTATGATTAAACGAATTAATTTGGGTAGCAATTGCTCATGTCAGCAGTGCATGCTGAAGACTGTAGAGCAGCTCCTTTTTCTGTTTATTTTTTCCATTCAGCAAGTTTTTAGTGAACAGCTGCTTTGTGGTGGACACTGTGCTAGGAGCAATGACTGCAGAGGAAACAGGCAGTCTTGTCCATTCCTGTTATGATTAAAAAGAAAGAATGTGCTCTTCATGAGCAGCATTTTCATGTGCAGAAACACAATATGTGAATTCGATTTACTGAATTACATGGAGTCTGAGCATCTCTTCCTCAAATGGGGAACTCATATTTTTAACACTCTCTCCTCCCTGTGGGCAGATTCTATCTCTATCTATCTATCATCTATCTATATGTCTGTCTTTCCACACACAGACACAAGCTATCAAGTAATGATTACAAACAAATCCTTAATGGTTGCTCTCATTTCTTGTAGAGGTTGCTGGTATGAATTCTACAGTAGATGATTGTCTGGAAGATAAAACTGGTAAGTATCTGCATATATTTTCTTTTACATAATGTCATTGCATTGTTCGCTCCTGATCAACATGTTTTGAATTTCTATGGCTTAACATGGCATAACGAGAATGGCTGGATTTTGCAGAATAGACCAACTGCTATTTTAAGCCAATCCATCCTTTCCTAGTAGCCATCTTCACACAATGAACACTGGCTTTTGGCGTGAGATGTCCGTGAATCAGAGGGTGCTGTGATATGCTCGGGATTATTTCAACACTGACTTTATTCATTTGTATGGCTTTTGTTTCTAATGACTAGGGAACATGGGATATCAACTTGCTTTTAGATTTTTTTCCTTTGGTCCTTTGCTAGTAGTAATAATCTTAAATGACCTGTTTAATTTTCGTAATACTGTGGAGTGTACAATATATTTTCCCATTTCACAGATGAGAGCAATGATATAAAATGACATCCCTTACACCAAGACAAGCAGCTAGATCTGTGGTTTTAATCCAGGCCATCAGAATCAAGAGCTCATACACTTATTCAGTTTTCTATTCTTCCTGACAGTCAAGTCACAGAGCAAGAAAGCCCAAAGCCAAGACCCCAAGACACAATGGCAGGGGCAGGGCTTGGGGGCAGTGCCTGGCTTCCCACTTCCATGGACTGGGCTTCAACCCCAGTTTTTTAAATTATTAGTGACATGAGTATGGGTACTTACACTTTCTGAAATACTTTTCTCACCTGCCAACCAGGAATAATTACACCAAACTCAGTTATTGTGGAGAGAAGTTTACATATGTGGAAAGTCCAGCATAGGCTATCTCATTTAGCTGGCATAGAATATGTACAAATTTCTGGCCTTTTCTCCCTGCATGTGTACAAAGAAAGCCCCTAGAAGCATTTATTCTAGCTCTCCAGAGCTCTCCTCCATTTCAAATATAAGGGGGGCTGTGGACCTCAGCTAACACCTTACCTGACCAACACAAAGGAATTCTAAGCACATCAGCACTTGAGGTCCCTTTCCACACCAAGTACTAATGATCCTGAAGTTCTGACACTATGGAGAGAAAGCTTGTCAAAGGGAAATTTCCACAGGAAAGGACTTTGGCTTTGTGGTTTATTGAGTAGCATTTGATCCCAGCACACTATCATTAATTATTTTTCAACATCATATACTTCTTGTAAAATTTAAAAGATATTAAGTGCAATTATCCTGTAGTGTCCTAGCCACAATGAAGGATACTTAGGAAAGACAGGTGAGAGAGCTGTGGCATCTTAAAGTTGCAGAGCATTTGGATTACCCACTTTCTTCCCATTAACATAATGTCCTCTGCTAAAACCGGCAGCCACCTGCTGTGACCACCACCATATATGTTCAAGGACTGTACCGTTAGTAGGAATTGTATTGCCTGCACATGCAATGACTCAGATGCTTCTAAACCAGCAAGTCAACTTTATAATAACCCTTAACCCTTTGATGTCAGGGTATTATTCATTGAACTTGGAGATACACAATTACAGAGGGAATAAAAATGTGTTCTGTGAAGTCATGTTGCTGAGATTGAAATCTGAATTCTGGTACTTACTAAATGCATAACATCAGGCAAATTTCTTCTCTTTGTGTCACTCTTTTATTTTTATAATGGAAACTAAAATAATAATTTCACAGATCACTATAAAATTACATAATATTAAAGTTTTTAATAAAAGTTCACAGAGTGTTTGTGATTTGGTTAGTGGTTAATGAAGAACATTAATGAACTTTCATTATTAATTGGAGAGAGAGTAGTGGTGAAGAAATGGCAAAATTACTTACCACAAATTCTATTTTCTCATTGGACACTCTCATTAAAAACACAATTTTAGTTTTTAATATTTGGAGTGCTGTAAGTGACATGGCCTGCAAGTGTCATTCTAAGTTTTCTTGTTGTTTTTGGTGGTGGTGGTAGCAGATGTGTGTATATTTGGGGGTTTGGTGGTGTGGAGGTGTCACCTCAATGTAGATCATAAACTAAATGATTACAGCTCCTCCATTAATGTCTCCTATCCTTTCAAAAGAACAGATGAAACTAATTAAATTATTTCTCCTAGATTTACTGCGGTTGCAGCTCACCAATACCTCCGCCTACTACACCTACCTCCTCCTCTTCCTCAAGAGCCTGGTCTACTTTGCCATCATTTCCTTCTGTCTGTTTAGGAGGACAGCAGTCTGTGGCCTTGGAAAGACTGCATAACACATGATGGCCCAATTTTTCTTCATTTCTTTTCCCTGGACGTGTCTGCTGAGGGTGTAGCTGGTCTTCCTATCTGGGTTTGGATTATTTCAGTCCCCATGCACTTTTCTATCACATCATTATCCCATACTGGTTTTCAAAACACTGGGTAAAAGACAATTTCTCTCTGTAACAATAACCAATTTGGCCACGCCTCTGGTGCAGGGCCCAAGGGTGCCCTTTAGCACCACCCTTCCCATAATCTCTATCAGCTCCTCTAGCCAAGCCAGGTAACCATGCCTTCTGAGTACAGACAGCATGCAGCTCCTAGTCCCATTCTTCAGTGCTCTTTAACCAGGGACCTGCCTTAAAGCTGTCCATTTCTCACACCCAGAAGCTACCTTTCCAGTTACTTTTATTCTGTATGTTGTGTTTTATAACTGGCACAATAAATTTTTTTTTAATCAAAAGTTTGCTTTGCCTGTTTACTTTAGTTAGATACATTTAGTGAAAGTCCCAGATAAGAGAGAACATGGCAAATGAGCTATCAGATTCAGCAATGTCATCATGGTCAATACTACCCTTGTGTTTCCTTCCCTGGGACTATAGTTATAATCCTTTCTATGGGGCATGGGTCCAAAGGGGGGCCAGGGCCAAAGGAAGGTGGCCAGGTTACTTCTCTCTCAAAGGTCACCATATTCATACTCATACTCATTGGTTTGGGAAATTCCAGTGGTGACAGTGTAACATCTACCATGACTGGCACTCTGTGTTCAGATCTATAGCAGCGTTTCACAAGCTTCAGGTTTCCTGAGCCTCACAATGACCCAGGAGAACTGCTCTGACACTGGAGAGGCAGTGCGGTGCAGGGTTGGCCCCTCCCCTCCAAACCCGAAGTGCCTGGATTTGAAACCTGGGTCTAGTATTGGTATCTGTGTGACCTCAGACAAACTATTTGGACTCTATGTGACATAACTTTCTCACGTGTAAGATGAAGTAACAGTTTCTGGTCTCCTGGAGTTGTGTCAAATAGATGAGTTAATAATGTTTGGTACATGCAAGTCTTCAACAGCTGCTGTTAGTTGCTTGACTTTACAAAATAATTGATTGGGTACACACACACACACACACACACACACACACACACACACCCCCTGACAATCATCTCTAATCATATTTCCCTGAAGACAGCTTAGACAGGGATGGAATAGGGACTCAGTAAGTTTCTGCTATGCACCAGGCAATCCCATTACCCCTCTCAGAGCCCTTGGAGGCAGGTGTAGTCCACAGTTAATAGATCGGAGAGATTATGTTATCTGCTCATGGTCACCATTTTGTCCACAAGTCATTTCAGCCAGGTCTCTCTAAACTCAGAGCCCACATTTGTTGCCTTCTCCTTCACCCACTTTCTCCAGGAAGGAAAAATCATGCACTGCTTTGGAGAACAAAGTCAGTGAGACTTTTCTTAGGGACTTGTGGGTGCGTCTGTATTTTCTCCTCATCTCTGTACCCTGTAGAACCATAATTGTTCCCTTTATTATCATTGGTATGAAATCCTACCTTATTTTATGTGTGTCCTAGATATGCAGCTCCCCTTTGGGGATGTTAACAAAATGAGCTGAGAGTCTCAGGCAAAGCAAGTCCTTGACGGTGTCACTAGGTGCACCATTCTGACATTCCAGCTCCTGTCTTTGACTGAATATGTCCAGAGTCCCTAAGAGTCACCTTGTGGGTGCCTCTGGTTATTTGTGGGCATTTCTGAGGTAGGAGGTGAGTGTACTTCCTTTTTGGTCCAGTACTTTTCCATCACAATAACACTGCCACCTGGCGTGGTGGGAGGAACACTGGGCCAGAACTCTCACCTCAAGCTCCATACTTAAAGCCTCATATACTTGGTCTGGCTTGAACTGGCTGTGTCATTTGTTCTTGATCATGTCATAGTGCCTATTTTTACCCATCTGTAGAAGAAAGTGTTCAAATTCTAAAGAATTTCAGATTTCTATCACAATTTACAAATGCAAGGACCCTAATGAAGTACTAAACAAATGCTTGCACAGTGCTTACTAGTACTGGTCTAAGCATGTGTTAACTTGTATCGCACAAGAACCCCACGAAACACGTACAATTATGACTGTTCTACAGATGGGGAAACTGAGGCAAAGAAGGCATAAAGAATATCCCCATAGTTAAGACAGCTAATAACAAGTAGAGCTGGGATTTGGACTCAAAAAACCTGGCTACAGGAGCTCTGCTGATAATTTCTATGTGACTTGTTACTAGAGTACAAACAGGTTCCTTTACATTTGAATTAAGATTGGAAAATATCCTTCTTATTAAACTAAGAGCCGATGAAGAGAACTGTCTCTTTCCCTGTATATAATTTCTCTCCTTACTCCTGTCCTGTTCAAACAATTACAGGGTTCTAACAAACCTGCCACACAATTTTTCGTGTTGGGAACATTTTTAAATGGTGGCCTCCCACCCACCAATCACACATCTATCATTAAAGTGCATGCCACTTGGTTGGATAAAAGAAATACCAGAACAAGGGGCTGCATCCAAAGGTGTACAAAGGAACAGCTGGTCAAAGATTTATACAATGCCATACAAAAGCACTTGTCTCTAATCTTTACAGAGCTAGCATACTCCACACACTTCTCAACCAGAAAAAAAGGCAAACTTCAAGGCAACCATTCTCGTTTTTCCCATTATGAATTCTCCCCACTGTTTTGGGATTCCTTTCTTCATAAACTCGTAGGTATTTTGAGGGCTTTAAAGGCCCAATAAGAAACTAAAAGAAGAAACAAAAGAATGTCATGTGACAAATTACTATGCATCTTCAAAACATGTAGACTACTTAAAGAAATAAAATATCAATCAGGAAGTGTTGTTGGAAATTAATGTGCAAAGAAGAACCCTACTAAAATTATTAGATAATACCTTCACATGCCTCCAAAACTAAAACACTCTAAAAATGCATTGTGAATTCTTGCTTCAACCTCTGTTTCTACCTCCCCAACCTCTTACAGGTCACACTTTTGTTTCTTGGGCATCCTTTTAGTTTTTATTCTGCAGGTATGAATGCACAAGGGCTGTCCAGAAAGTACCCAGCCATGTACTATGAAAAAGAGACATTGAAGAAGATATAAGAAACATGGTAGCTAGGACAATGATTCAAAGTAGGCAACTTGGGACCTCACACAGTTCCAATTGCCATCAACTGCCCTGTCATATTTCCTTAAATGTCATTGACAGTGGGAGACCTCTTCCCTTTCAAAGGTGATTTTAGTTTTGGAAAAAGCTGTAAGACTCAGGGTGCCAAATCTGGGCTGTACGCAGGCCGAGTTACCTGGGTAATTTGATGTTTCACCAAAAACTCTGCACAAGATGTAATGCATGAGCGGGAACGCTGTCATGATGAAGCTCCAATCATAAGTTGCACAGTGCTGAGGCTTTCTGAATCATCCGAATAGCTTCCATAGAGGAATGTTCAAGCTTAACACAAAATCTGATGCAAATTCATTGCTCTACTCACTCAGTCATTTTGAATGTGATGACCACACTGTATGAATGCTCACTAACAGTGTCTACTGCCCCCACTGATAAATATTGTGAAGTTGTCATTGTTCATGCACATGAATTACAGTCCACTCTCCTTGACTGCCAGGTTGCAGCAACTTTGTGAAAATTGTTCTCCTTATATTAGCAGTGGTTGGACATTTTCCAGACAGACCTTGTACACATATAAATGCATATGCATGTGTCTAAATTTTTTCCCTTAGTACACAAATGTAGTAGACAGTATATTCTGTACTACTGTTTTTACTTACTCATCCTAGAGCTCTATGTCAGTATATAAGAACACTTAGCTGCATATTTCACTGGTGAATGTACAATAGTTCATAAAACCAATTCTTAATGATAAATTATTGGCTTATTTTTAACCCTGTGCTATTATAAAAAATGTTGAAATAATAGTGCTCATGTCATTTTGAACACGTGCACTGCTAATTTCTACCACAATGTAGGTGAATGCCCAGAGTGTGCTGCCAAATGTCAGAACTTGATAAATATGACAAGAGAAAAATAGCCTCATCATCATGGCTTTACTTTGTTTTTCTTTTATGAGTGAGGATAAGCTCTTTTCATATGTTAAAGTCTGCCTATATTTCTTCTTCTGACAACTATTTGTTCATGTGCTTTGACCACTTTCTATTAACAATACTAACAATACCTGTGTCTGTGTGTGTTTATGGACAAAGGCATAAAACAAAACATTCAGTGTATACGGTGGGTGGGTAAAAAAAGAGATTGTATATAATTTTATTTACTCTAATAAACCCTTTAAAAGTAAAAAACTTATACCATAGAATTTAAACAATGTCTGATTTAAAACTGGAAAGAATGTGTTTCATTACAGTCAGCTTCAGGTTCTGTGAAACAGGTTCTTTTGGAAATCCAGTAGAGGTTCTCATTCAAAACCAAAATAAGACCTGACACAAAGATTAAATTTACTTAGATCTACTCCTTGGCTCTCATAAATTTGATCAAGACCCCTTTAGGACAAATACTAGGACAATACTTTGCTATGTAAAGCAAAGATTTTCAAATGGTGTGCAACAGGAATTTTTAAAACATGCAATACCTGACTGTTTAATCAGGGGCACCGAGCTCTTTCTCTTAGATTGTCAAAAAGAAAAAAAGACAACAGCCAACAAAACTATAGCCCTCTAGAGTGAATGCTCTGTCTTGAACCATAACTATATATAGGTTATATAACAGACTTGCATCACATTGTACACATCACACAATAAAGTTGTGACGGATTCATTAAGTCGTGGTACCAGAAATCTTCATGAAAGTCACTTTAAGCAAAAAGAAATAGTAATTTAGACAATTACTACTATTATTCTTCTGTAAATCAAAATTTACCTAATTTTTGTCAGATCAGTAAAGTCATATTTTTTCGAGTACCACTGAATTTTAAGTTTATGTGTGCCATGAGATGAAAAAGGTTGAAAACCTCTTACTTAGTTGAAACTAGTGTGCTGGGAAAGGTAGAGGACACTTGAAAATCCCTGAACACTTTGTGCAGCCAATTTCACAGTTGAGCACTACGAGGCAGCATTTCCTGCCCACCAAACTTCTTAGCAACTTCCTTCCTCAGCTCAACCTGGGCTGCCCTGAAACAGGCAGTAAGGGAGGGAGAGCAAAGACGGTGGAGGCCACAGCATGGCTGGTGGGAGGGCGCTGCTGTGGTTGATGGTGATTTAGTTTCTCAGGCTCCTTTTGTTGACATGCTCTAGCAAATGTGGTTAATTTGCGGAAAATGCTCAATGTCAAACCGGCCCCTACTGTTGGGTCTGTGCAAGCAGTGGCGTAAGTGTTGTAAGATAAAAAAGGCAGTTAAACCACAACTAACTTCGCTTACTTTCAAGAGGCCACAGGTAAAGAAAATATCCATCTGCATACACATGCAGGTGGTTATCAGACACAGTTTTAGGAGTGGATAGGGGCTCCCCACTTTTTACATGCAAAGTTGGCTCCAGTTAGCTACTATGTGAGGTGGAAATCTCATGCCCAGGACTGATGAGATGCTGCACCATCAGTCCAACATGAACCTACCTAGTTGGCAGGAAAGAGCAGAGAGCACTAAGCTAATCCTGAACATTACACCAAATACCTCTGCTTTTCCATGGAATTTAATACACTGAGGCTTGTGCCTTGAGTTGCATTTTCTCAGTGTACACAGGGTGATTCAAGACCCATGGCTGTGAACCTCATGGTATAGACAGACTATAGATGTGGGCAACATGGATGAGCTTTTCCTTCACAGGAACACAGAGACAGCAAGGCCCTAATTTCAACTGTGTCACTGAATGTCATATACTGAATCATGTAAGTCCCTCTAAAGGGACAAAAAACATCAACCTGAGCAAAGATTGACCTGAGCATAGAGGATATGAACATCAGAAAAAAGTGTGATTGGGGTCAAGTAGAAGAGGGCTGTTCAGCAATGTGAACATAGAGGCCAAATACTCCCACCCATACCCTGCCCTGGCATAATATGGAGTGAGTACCTAGGCCCTGGACTCAATCTGTGTAGTTCTGGGGGAAGAATAGCTCTGTTGTGCAGATCAAAGCTTCAGGCTTTCATAATTGACTTCATGACACATACACATCAGATACTTCACTCTTCATCTGTGCAACTACTGGGAACCTTGGCTTGTTATGACATTTGGCTGTATCCTCCTGGTTCAGCCTAGTGTGTTTGAGTGAGAGGTCTTTCTCAGGTTAAATTAATACAATGACATCCAGCTTGAGCATCATCTGAACACTTGCTGTGTATGTCATTCCACTCCCGAGATAAAGCATGCTCACTGTGAAAATACCATTTAGTTCCTGGGGTTTTTGTCCCAAGGCCCAACCCTGGAGCTTTCTATCACCCTTTCTCCACCATAGGAAGCTACTCCTGGTTAGGCTCCCACCTCTCAGTGGCATTTCTGTCATTTGGCCCTTTCTTAGAACAAGCACAGATGGACTTGATTTGATCTGCACCAGCGGCCAGTTCCTACCCAAACAGGCACTATGACCAGGATGCACAATTGCATTTTTCTTAAATGACACGTGAATAAAAGAAAGCAAATAGACATGCTGCCTTCCTGTGAGGCATTAAAGTAATACTTCACATTTTAAAATTAGCTCACAATACAGCTATTTACTTCAATTCAAATTAGCTAAACACAAAGGGAAAATGATGGCAATGATTTCATAGTGTGGTTTCACACAAGATGCCTCAGACTACTTCAGAACCAGTCTGCTAAGAGAAAAATACAAAATGTCTGGTGACTTTTTATATGTATTTATAACCCCACCTTGTTCCCTGTGGTAAATATAACACTTTTGGCAAAATTCATATGCAAAACAAGAAAAATAAAACTAGTGACTTTGATATGTGGGATTTTATTACATTTTAAATTTGTACAAAGAACACATGTGCATGAGTTAAAAAACACAAAGGAAATGCAGGATGTTAAAAAAGAAATACAAAGGAAATCTGAGACATGAAACAAAACAATTCCATTCTGTGAATCCAAATAAAAGATATTCTGCTTACTAAAATTGTGTTACTATAATATATTAAGAAGTCTGTCGATTAGGAATAGAGCATAAGACCTCTGCAACTTTTCATTACAGATCAGACTCAGTGCCACCGCACAGAGGATGGATCATCACGTTATCTCACCTGCCACGAGCAGATTACTAAGTGCATGTGAATATGGTACAGTGTCTGTGAGGTATTACAACAAATGGGTCCTTTATTCACCAGTCAGTCAGTCAGCAGTGGAGGGTCACCACTTCAAGCTTTCCATAGGGAGACCCCATCTCCAGTCCTTTGTACCTTCAAGTCATTTTCACTCAGTTTTTCACACTTTGAGAAAGAGAGAACACAAAAGTATTTGAGAAGTAGTTTTACAGGGAGAAATGCTACACTTTGCCTTATGTTTTTTTCATAGTTCAAAACTTTATGGGATGTATCTTAATGTCAAGTAGAAGATCAAACAGATGAAAAAAGTTAAACAAAAGACACAGAAATAAATATGCATTGCCTTATGTTTTTATAACGAAGTCTGTGTATACCTGGATGGTACTGTCTGTGTTACAGACAGTGAAAGACATTTAGTGTGGGCACACAACAATTTGTTTCAGCGAATTTTAGAAAAGATCGACTCTTCACGTGCCCACATTTTTCCTCTGTCCCAACACTGTTGGGGAAAGAAGGGACCAAAGAGTGTTGCGTGCTGCTGATGCAGGCACAGGCCCCACTGGCCAGGACCCCGCTGTGTCTGCCAGCCCATCCGCCTCTACACTGGTTTCCCAATTGCACTGAATCTGTCTAAAATTTTTCCTTTTTTGATATTTTATTACTCTTTTGTTCAAGTATAACTGACATTTAACATTATATTAGTTTCAAGTATACAACATAATAATTCAATGTTTGTATATTACAAAATGGTCACCGCAAATCTAGTTAACACCTATACCATACATAGTTACAAAATTGTTTTATTTCTTGTGATGAGAACATTTAAGTTCTACTCTCCTTTCCCTTCTATGTTTAAATAATTAAGCAGAGCCACTACTACCACAATTTATGTTTATCTTCTTGTATTTCTGAGGTTGAGATGTCCTCCTCTGACGATGTGCCCCCACCTCGAGGCACTGTCAAGTGCTACTGCTCTGAGTGACTCCATCCCATCTTTCACCTCAGGAGCTGCAACAACCTGAGAGACGTCCTGGTGCAGGGCCAGAGCGAATACTGCTACCAGACGGGAGGGCCTGCATGCTGGCTCTGCCACTTGCAAGCTATGCGACCTTGAACAAGTTACTCTCCCTTCCCAAGTCTCATCTGCCTCAAATATAAACGCAGGCAATACCAGTACCACGCCTCAGAGGACTGCTACCCTCACAGCACACATAAAGGGTCTGTATTTAAACAATGTCTGCCATGGAGACCTGGCTAAGTAAACCAAAAGGAATGCATCGTATGGAGAAATTTTTGGACTAGGAGCTATTTTTCATGCTTCGCCAATTTATTCCCATATGGAAATTAAGAAATTTTACAGAAATCAAAATGTGACTGACAAATTCATGTAAATAGGACTAACCTGGCCACACATAAAGACTCATATTCTTTGAATTTTACCCTGAATCCACAGGAAGAAACGCTTCCTATTTCAGCACTTTGTTGCTACAGTTTCATTTTTGAAGACTTACTTTAACAAAAGTAGTACTCATAGCTCTAATAGTGGTTTTTCACTGTCCTGCTTTTCTTCAGCTTCTTCAGATCCTACATGGAAAGAAAGAGACAGGAGAAAAAATGTTGCTTTCCTTTTTTTTTTTTTAAATATTTTATTTATTTATTTTTAGAGAGAGGGGAAGGGAAGGAGAAAGAGTGGGAGAGAAACATCAATGTGTGGTTGCCTCTCCCGAGTCCCCTGCTGGGAACTGGCCTGCAACCCAGGCATGTGCCCTGACTGGGAATCGAACCGCGATACTCTGGTTCGCAGGCCCGCGCTCAATCCACTGAGCTACGCCAGCCAGGGCTAAAATGTTGCTTTCCAATAAAGAAACACATGATTTCTTTAAAAATACAATATATGTGCACATATTTTAAAGGACAGATACATGTTTAACCCTCAAAAGATTTAGCTGAACAAAACTAACTGTAAAATAAAGTTTTACATTATTTCTTATAGGAGGAAAACCTGTAAAATAGAATATCACTTGCACTAATCTGTCAAAGAGAATTTTACTTATGTTCTATTAAAATATTCATACAAAACAAGAATTATTATCCAGGCTATTTATCTTCCACCTCCTTGCTGACAAACTTGCATGTTTTTCAAGTGCAAATAACTTGGAACTTGGGTACAAATAATTTACTCTACATATTAAAAAAAACCACTCTGTCCCAGTGAGAAAGCAGTGAGGTCTTCCTAATGCCAAGGGTGATGCCACAGGGTCACTGTCATGTGCTGTTACCAGTGAACACTGTTACAACCATTCTGGGTCAATGTCTAGTGAGCCTCATATTAGTTGTGCATTTGACCCAATCATTCCACACCTGAATTATTTCCTTAGGCTATAACTCCAAGAAAACAGTACTTATTTTCTATTATGTAGATTTCTCTCTAAAAGTAGAAAGAAATTCCAAGTCTGACAGCAGAGGTTAAAAATTATTACATTTCCATGAATTATGCATCCATTTAAAGTTATATTTATATAGGCTATAACATGGAATATGTATAATATATAATAAAAAATAAATATGTAATGAAAAACTGTATCATATTTGATAAAAACAAAACTAAATATATGTGTGCCAATCAGAAAGACCGAAGCAACCAACCATACTTGTGACTTACATATAAGTCATACAAATGAATTCCATACAGTTCTACATTTTCAAAATTTCTTTACAAAGCCAAAGATATAATAAGAAAACTATACACAATTAGGTAGCCAAATATCCTCCAAAAGTATTAGCAAATCAAAGGCAAAAAAAATGCATAATGGATTATATAACATGATCAAGTGGGATTTATCCCAGATGTACAGTTTATTTAACATCAAAAAATTAATGTAATACACCATATTAATTTAATACAGAACAAAAATCACCTGATTACCTCAACAGATGCATAAAAAGCATTTGTAAAATCTAATGTTCATTCATTATAAAAACTTTCAACACACTAGAAATAAAATGGATCAGCCTCATAAAGGGCATCTATGAAAACCCACAGCTGTCCCATACTTAATGCTGAAAGACTGAATGTTTTTCCCTAAAGACCAAGAACAAGACAAGGATATCTGCTCTTGCCATTTCAATTCAACATGGTATTGAAGGTTCTAGAGAGTGCAATGGGAGAAAACAAAATTAAAGCTTTCCAGTAGATTGGAAGACAAAAGGTAGAATAGTCTTTATGTACAGATGACTTGATCCCATACTTAGAAAATTCCATGGAATACACACTAAACCAAAACTAAAACAGGTTACCAAGTGCACAAGATACAAGTTCAATACACAAAATACAAAGTGTATTTCTATACATTAGCAATGAGCGAAAACATTTACATTCAAAATAAAACTGAGAAAAATAAAGTTCTTAGGAATTAACAAAAGAACAAAATGTGTATGTGGAAAACTACAAAACAATGAAAAGAAAAATTGAAAAAATACCTAAATACATGTAGAGAGATCATGTTCATGAATTAGAAGATTCAGTATTTTCACGATGGTACTCTTTCCCACATTGATCTAAAATACAGTGCAGCACACTATGTGGGCAAAAATTAACAAACATCCTAAAATTTATCTGATAACTCAAAAGACATAGAATAGTACAAATAATTTGAAAAAGAATAAACTTGGGCCCTGGATGATGTTGGTCACTGGACTGAGTGTCGCCTGCAAAGCAAAGGGTCACTGGTTCAATTCCCAGTTAGGGCACATGCCTGGGTTGTGAGCCGGGTCCCCAGTTGGGGGTGTGTGAGAGGTAACCACATACTGATGTTTCTCTCCCTCCCTTCTCCTTTCTCTAAAAATAAATATTTAAAAAATGTAACATTAAAAAAAGAATGAAGTTGGAAGACTGTTATGGTCACCCCATATAAACAGTGTGTCGGGGAAACTACCCTAAAATCTGACTTGGATGTGCAAGCTGATGTTGCCATATACCAGAACAGGATACTGGAGAGGATATGAAGGGGTTTATTGCTTATACCAGTGAGGTATCTGGGGACAGTAGTGCAGGCTTTTCAAATATGACCCCATAGGACCTGATTTCAAAGCTTATATGAAAATAAAATCACAGCAATGATGCTGGTGTGGTACTAGTGCAAAGAGAGGATACAGGTCAGTGGAAGAGAAATGAGCCCAGAAATAAACCCTTATATATAAGGGAAACTGGCTTTTGACAGATGTGCTGAATTGACTCAATGGGGAAAGGTTACTCTTTTCAACAAATGGTGCTGCAACATCTGGATATCCAAAGGTAATTAGATGAATTTAGTTCCTTACCTCCATACACAAGAATTAGTTCAAAATGGTCCATGAACTTAATTGAAAGAGCTAAAACTACAAAATCTAGAAGCAAATGTCAGAGAAAATCTTCGTGACATAGTGGTTAGGCAGAGTTCTTAGACACAATCTGAAACACATTACCCATAAAAGGATAAATCTTGATAAGCTGAACATCAATATTAAAAAGTTATGCTTCAAAAGACTCCAAAAATGAAAAGCCTATAAATCGAAGAAAACATCTACAAATCATGTATCTGATAAAGGACCTTTATCTAAATGCACAAAGAATTCTTTCAATTCAATAAGACAAACAACGTAACTAAACAAAAATGGTAAACGACTTAAAATTGACATTTGTCCAAAGAAGATATGTGAACAGCCAGTAAGCCCGTGCAAGGTCCTCAGCGTTGTCAGTCATTATGGACATGCAAATTAAAATCACAGGGAGATGCTGCTTGACACCTGCTAGAATGGCTCCACTCAAAACGGCAGCCAACACCAAGTATCTGTGAGTGTATGGAAAACAAACTCTCACACAGTGCTGGAGGGAATGTGAAATAGTTAAATTTGGAGAACGGTGTGCAATGACTTAAAAAGTTAAACAGAAACCTATCACATGACTCAGCAAATCCTCTCCTAGGAATCTATCTAAAGAAAATAAAATCTTATGTTCCCACAAAGACATGTACATGAAATGTTCCCAGCAGGATTACTCATAATAGCGAAAATTGGAAACAGTCCAAATATCCAACAACTTGTGAAAACAAAAACTGTATATCCACATAATGAAATAGTATTCAGCCATAAAAAGGAGCAAGCTACTGACAAATGCTACAACATGATGACCCTCAAAAACGTGATAAAAGAAGTCTGATGCAAAAATTATATATTGCGTGATTACATTTATATTACTTGATCAAAAAGGGACCATTTTCAAGATAGAAAGATCATTGTGTATGAGTGGGGATTAACTCCAATTAAAGGAACTTTTTTATGACATCATATAATACCATAATTAAAAAGTTATTTTACACTTCTCAAGTTTTTCCAGAGGTAGTTTCCTTTTTTTATTGTTGTTCAATTACAGTTCTCTCCATTTTCCTCCTATTACTCTCCCCTGCACACCCACCACCAACTCCCACATCAATTTTTCCTTCCCCCTGGGCTGGCTTTGTCTGTGGGTCCTACATACATGTTTCTTGATGATCCTTCCCCTTCTTTCCTCTGTTATCCTCCTCTCCCCTGCCCTCTGATTAGTGTCAGTTTGTTCTTTATTTCCACATCTTTGGTTCTACTTTGCTCACTTATTTGTTTTGTTGATTAGGTCCACTTAAAGATGAGATAATATAGTATTTGTTTTTCACCACCTGGCTTACTTCACTTAGCATAATGCTCTCCAGTTCCATCCATGCTGTCATGAAGGAGCTCCTTTCTTTCTGCTGCATAGTACCCCATTGTGTAGATGTACCACAGGTTTTTGATCCACTCCTTTACTTAGGGCACTTAGGCTGTTTTCAGCACTTGGCTATTGTAAATTGCACTGTTATGAACATTGAGGTGTATGGGGTTCTTTTCAATAATTGGTGTTTTAGGATTCTTAGAGTATAATCCCAGCAGTGGAACTGCTGGGTCAAAAGGCAGTTCCATTTTCAGTTTTTTGAGAAAATTCCATCCTATTTTCCACAGTGGCTGCACAAGTCTGCATTCCCACCAACAACAGCGCACTAGGGTTCCCTTTTCTCCACAACCTTGTCAGCACATGTTTTTTATCTATTTGTTTATGATGGTCATTCTCACTGGTGTGAAGTGGTATCTCACTGAGATTTTAAGCATCTCTCTGATGGCTAGTGATGCTGAGAATCCTTTCATATGTCTCTGAACTATCTGTGTCCTCCTTGGAGAAGTGTCTGTTCAGGTGTAGAGGAATTTTTTTGGATGATAAAAGTGTTCTAAAATTGTCCTGTCATATTGGTCGAAAAACAGTAGTTTGCTAAACATGTGCAATTGCACATGTAAAATGTATAAATTTTATGGTACATGAATTTTAAAGAAATGAATGTTGGAGATCAAAGATGGCTGCAGAGTAAGTAGAGGCGACACATACCTCCCCCTGGCAATAGACCAGATTTAAAGCTAAATTATAGTACAATCAACCCGAATGACCAACTGGACAGCTGAAGAGCAGTATTACATCCAAGGATTTACAGAGGAAGCTACACAGAGACTGTAAAGAAGGGGCAAGATGTGGAGAGGGCTGGTGC